TTTGCCACAGGAATGTTTTTGGCCAAAGAGCAAGAAAGGAAACGAAACGAAACGATACGAAAGAGAGGATGCAGAGCCTTATGTAAAGCGCATTTGTGTGCTTGGCGTGGGAATCACCGGAGAAGAAATTCGCGACAAAAATCGACCCTCTCGGTTGAGAACTAAATGCGATGCCAGCCAGAGCCAGAGCCGAAACAAAGGAGGCCCAAAAGACGGACGCTGCCGAGTCTGGTGGATGGTGGCATGAATCACCACAGCCCAAAGCCAGAAACCCAGAAGAAGCCAGAAGAGGCGGATGAGGATGAGGAAGGTAAACTGGTTCTGTTGGAATGCAGATAACTTCTTTGCCAGGCCCAGTCCTACTCAGACTAAGCTTCAAGTGCGGCAATTTCATGCCCTGTCCGCTACAGCGAGCTCTCTCTCTCTCTCTCTCTGCATATTAAATATTTAAGGCAAACAGCCAGAGAGATAACCAAAGCGAAAACCGAACTCAATTCGAACTGTGCAACATGCATTGAGGCATTGAGGTTGGACGTTGGATTCTCCAGTTCTCACTAATTTACAGACACACACACATACACTCTCGGAGAGAGTAAGAGAGAGAGAGACAGACAGAAGGCAACCACAAATTTTAATTAACCGAAACAATGGTGCGGCACTGCAACACATCAAAGGGCAACAACATAATCAAAACGCATCCAGAGGAGAGGCTTTATCCTGACCTGACCGCAATGCTCATCCCGCGAGTGACTAAATGACCACGAAATTACAGATGAACGGGGGAGGTCATGGCATGCAGTCCCAGGACCTTATTTGCGTGGAAATGAGTCACCAAATTAGGGCAAATTGATTGAATGTTCAAGGGGTCTTACAGGGGCTCGGACTAGCAGACAGAATTGACGCCAAAGGGGGTGGTACTGATTCCCCTTTGGCGTAGAAATGATTCAACAATCTGCAACCTTGATGTTCCTTTGATAGCCAACAAAACAAATCCCATTTAAGCCACACTGAAGCATTTATTACGCAGCCTTTCAATCGATAGCTGGCACTCTGCACGCTGTTGACGCAAGGCTTTGGGGCAAGGTCGCCTCTGCCAGAGATACATAGCGACATAGCGATAGAGAGATAGAGAGGGAAAGCGCGTCCACAAATGGTGACCAAATGGCAGTTGATGCTGCAACCTTGGGCAGCCTTCCACTGGCGCCAGTAGCTGCAGTTGCGTCATTCCCGCCCCGAGGATTCCCAATGCAGGCCATGACGTCGACGGTGTTGTCATGAAGCTTCGCCTCCCCTGTGAGGCATCAACAGAGCGCCACAGCATACAACCGCCAGCAGTGCATCAGCAACGCTGACATTCCCAGCGGGGAATGAGAAATAGACAAAGTGATAAATGATTCGGGGACAAGTGGGAGAGGGAAAAACTTAGATACTTAATTTATGGCCTGGCCAGATGAGCCTCGTCGCGAGTGCTGTTTAATTGCCTCACGTTATGCAAACCAATGCAATTGATAGGTAAAACAATTGACTGCGACTCACGGTGGGAGTGGGTCTGACTTAAAGATGAAAAATACATGCACGTAATACCCTCCTTTGTGGCACAAAAAGCTAAAAATTAGTACAGAAATTCAGCTTAAAAAGAGGTTATTTAAGGAACTACTTTGTTAAGTTTTTATATCAATTGTATTCACAAATACATATGTCCAATGTTTTCAATCAAAAAACCATTCAAAAATTATCTGAAAAAGTATGCAGCAAAGGATGGCCGAAACATATTCAGGATTATTATTATTGCTTACAAATAGTCGTGTAATAAATTTTCAATTAAAACAGCCTTAAAAAAAACGGATAATTTGATTTATTTTTAATTACTTTTTCCTCTCCAAAAGTTTGTTTACTTTCACAGCAATAAATGTCTGTTCAAATATTAACCTGCAACCAGTATACCCCATAATCGAGCCCCGAGGTGATGGGAAGAGGTGCAGTCATTAAACGAGGCGCCACCGGCAAATGCCATGGCGACAGCCAGTCGATTGATGAACTGCAGCCAACTGGGAATGGGGACTAATAGCAATGTCAATGGAAATGGGGTTGGGGGATGGGTGCTGGGGGCTGGAGGCTGGGTGGGCTAGGCCTGGCGCATTGATTACTCCCGAGTACAAACGAGTATTTGCGGCCGCTTCTGATTGACCGTTTGTGCAAACACACACACAAATACCTGATCAAAAATTGAGTGAAAATTGTATATTTGTTTGCGTTTTAATGCAATTTACTCTCATTGCATTGCAATTTTCACAGCAAATTGCAATTAGTGGCAATTTAAATGCATTTCCTACTAACGCAGCATAAAATTAAATATGAGTCCGGACGGAGGAGGCAACTGGACTGGACCAGACCGGATTGGATTGGATGGAGTGGCGGTGGCTGTGGCCTGTTGACTGGGTAACTGAGTAACTGAGTGACCCACTGGGCAAATACATAGACGAAAACTTCTGCAGTGCCAGCCAATTGCCAGCCCCTCTCAAGTGCGTCTGAGTGAGTCCGAGTCCGAGTCAGAGTCAGAGTCCGAGCTATTTGCTTAATGAAAGTATCGTGAGGCAGAGGCAGAGGCTGAGGCAGAGGCCGAGGCAGAGGCAGGCACTCCCTTCGGACTGGACTGGGAGCAGCGAAAGTAGCGCACTCTCCCAGGCCACTTAATGGCTCTATTTGCCGACAGAGTGACCCACGCCACGCCACGTCGTACCACACCACACCACACACCACTCCACCCACTTGTCAACTGACTTCCCTACCATGACAGTTGTGCAATAGAGCAAAAGGAACAAGTACGAATGCAACAGCGAAATATCTTGACTGTAAGATGCCCCTTCATTTCAAGAGTCATCCAAGGGAAAGAATAATATCTGTAATTGAGCTTCCAAATACACAGAAGATCCAATTAGATTGGGTACATAATTGGCTTATTCCGTTTTTAATTTCTAGAAAAAAGGTAATCATTTTTCGCGTATTAATACATATACCTGTAGTACCTATTGAGACCCAGTTCTTTCAGTTTTCAAAGTCTCCGACAACCAGGTGTTCTTACATACAGTTGGACTTATATCTCTGCCTGTTGCACGTATCCTTTAGGATTCCATACACCCCTGTGGCTCACATGTATACCCTGTATAAAAAAACTGCAACTGGAAAAATTATTGCACTGACCAGAGTGGACACTGCCCACACATTCGGCTGCGACTGCGACTGCGACTGCGTCTGCGGTCTAGTGCCCCATGATTTATCAAACTGAAATCCACACACGAACAGAGAATTTATATGGGGGGAGAAGGGGCGCGGCAATCGACCCACGTAGCTGCCACAGATTTGGCTATATGTGGGCATCCCAGCCCCCAGCCCCCTGCCCCAATCGCAGTCAACCCAATTGATAACGCGTGTGTATATATCGGATAAGTGCTCGTTTCGATAGCAGCCGTCACAATGTTTGACTTTTATGAAATAATTTACTTGCAATTTGCACATGTCAATCCATGGGCATATTTGCCTTACCATTTGCAGCGACTCCGATTGTTGCAACCAGCAACCAGCCAGAAGCAGCGGCAATTAGCGACCGCTTTGCCACCCATGAACGGGAATTGGACATCTCCATAGATCCATGGGTGATCTTTGTGCCTGCAGTCCCCCTGCTCTCCCTCTGACTCTGTCCCATCCCATATTTGTTCCGCATTCTTCAAACGGTTATTAATGTGCATCTGTCGTTGAGCTTTGACTGGAGCTAATGCTGGAGAGCTGGTGGTAGTCAGACGCAACTCCTGTGCATAAACGGCAATGGGATGGGAGTCATTTGCATGGAGACTTTCCAATCAACTCCCATTAGAACGCTCGTCGCAAATCTGAAAGAGAAAAATGAACGATTAGAATTTATTCACATTGTATATGGGAAATAAAAAAGCAGTATATATATACATACTCACATATGTATGTGTACGAGGAAATGCGTCCAACGTTGAGGAAGGCCATTCAACGAAAAGTACCAGAAATCCGTGGAAAAGGATCTTTGTTTTTTGTTCCCACTTAGTAGACTTTAATTCAATTAAATTCCTGGCATTTTTAAACTAATCATTGCATTCGAAAAATTTGTTTTTATTTGCTGCAGAATGTAAAATGTAATGTAAATTCCACATGGGAAATGTAACGAATGCAAAATGTTCCGCCCTCAGATTCCATTCCCCATTGAACCTGCTCATACATATATGTATGTATGTACATATAGTTGTCCCACTTTCTCAAACACAGAATACACAAAAAAACAAACGTACGTACATGCATATGAATGTTTTAATGCTGAGATTCGGCACACGCAAAACAAACCAATAAAATTTGCATTAAAAAACGAATTGAAACCGAACCATTAAAAACTAATGGACTTGAATAATTAAACACCGACCTGCATTTAGTCGCAGTTGTTAATCAGAGCACTCTTTTGGCACAGAGTTTATTAGATCCCTATTCGGACATTCCACGAACAAGCATATACACACACACACACACACACGCAAGCGAGTATTCGTGGCAGCACTGGCGCTCAGCCGCCTGCGGGCCAATGCAGTGCAGCCAAAATAACTTTATCATGCTGGAAACACTTAACACTGCAATTTTATTGTTAATTTACAATCAACTTTACACTTATTTAAGGAGTTTAAGCAAAAATGCGGCTTTAAGCGAGTAATTTAAGAAGCTTTATGCATCATGACGGAAACTAGGGATGTGTTACATTCCAGTATCGTGCCGCTCACAAAACTATCGTCGATCTGGCAACCTTAACAAGCTATAATTAAAAACATTTCAACTTTTTTTTTTACTTAAATTTGCTATAAAAAACTGCAGCTGCTTAGTTAATTAAATTATATTTAAATTCATTACCCTTGTCGGACTCAAAAATTACCAGCAGAACCATCGATAGTTTCATCCAGCTATCGTACAGTCCAAGCAATAAGCTCAACAAATGCAACTCTGCATGGCGTATATTTTTTCTGACGTTTTAATTTCCATCCAAGCACATTACAATTTATTTCGGAGTTTTTCGTAAAAGTAAACTAATTGAAATGAGTAATATTTTGTGTGATGGTCTTTTGGACGGGGAATGCGATTTTAACGGCATTCCGATGCGCGCCTTTGACCCATACGAACACGAACTGAACCCCGACTTTCGTCTAACACGTTTCGGCGATCTGAACGAGCGCAGCCAGAAGACGCCCAAGGACAAGATCTCGGAACTGATGTCGGCCAGCAAATCAAGCGGGGAGCTGGATGCTGCAGGCGAGAAGGAAGCGATGCCGGAACCGCAGCAGCTACTCCCCGGACTGGACATCACCGGCCATGGCTCGATTGTGCTGAAGCAAATGCCAATGTTCGGCAACCTCCATCTGGTGCAGACCACCGACTTTTGCTACCCGATCATCGACGATCCCTACCTAATGGGCAAGATAGCGTGCGCCAATGTGCTCGGGGATATGTACGCCAAGGGCGTTGTGGCCTGCGACAACATGCTGATGCTGCTGGCCGTGAGCACGCTCATGACGGAGAAGGAGCGCGACACCATACTGCCGATGATGATGCGTGGCTTTAAGGAGTGCGCCATGAAGGCGGGTACCAATGTTACTGGCGGCCAGAGCGTGGTCAATCGCTGGTGCATCATTGGCGGCGTGGCCACGTCTGTCTGCCAGGAGATCGAGATCATTCAGCCGCACAACGCTGTACCGGGCGATGTCCTGCTGCTGACCAAGCCACTGGGCACACACGTGGCCCTGAATGTGCACAAGTGGATGACTTCTCAGGGCGAGAGATGGCAGTACCTGAAGGGCAACTTCAGCGAGGAGGATGTAGCCAAGGCTTTTAACATGGCTGTGAGATCGATGTGTCGCCTCAATCGCACCACCGCTCAACTGATGCACAAATATGGCGCTCATGGGGCCATCGCCATTGCTGAACACGGAATCCTGGGCCATGCCGAGGCCCTGGCCGCTCGACAGCAGCGGGATGTGGCTTTCTCCATCTACAACATGCCGGTGATCGACAAGATGGCATCGGTGGCTACCAACTGCGGCGACGGCTTCCAACTGATGCGTGGACGTGCCCCCGAGCATTCCGGAGGTCTGCTCATCTGCATGCCGCGTGAGGAGGCCACCGAATTCTGCAAGGAAATCATCAAAGTGGAAGGACCCAACGCTCGCTCCTGGATCATTGGCATCGTGGAGAAGGGGGACAAGACTGTCAATTTCGTAAAGCCACGCGTCCTCGATGTTAATATATAAGCGAAGTTCCTTTTTTTTTACAACATTTATACAAACATTTTACACATTTAAATGCCATAAAGATAATCCGTTTCCGGATTGCGCATTTATTAAACACAAATTGGAATGGGAATTGGAATTGGAATTGGAATACTTATGTATGTATAATACGCAAAGCAGCAGCCGCAGCTTAAAGCTTCGGCATTACGATGAAATCGTTCAAATCCAGTAAACCCGAATTGACAACAATTTTTAAAGCCGATTAATATGTGGAGCGGAGCAGTCGGTGCATAAACATTAAGAGACACATTTGTTTATCTGGCCACAGGCTGTCGCACAGGGGGTGACCTTTTTATTTTATTTTCATTATGGAAATTTAACAGCAAATTAAACAACATTTCAATCAAGAGGCAGACCAAACCAAACGCTTGTTTGTGTGGGTTAAATTTTTATGAATGCCCCGTAAAGTTAACACGTAAATGAACGCTGTACGTTAGATGGCTAGTGGGGGGGCTGGGTTGGGTTGGGTCAGGTCACAGGTCAAGGAAGGGCAGCAGCGAATCTGCGCATAAGTATGTCACTCAGCCTGGTGTGCGTGTGTGTGTGTGTGTGTCTGGTGACAGGAGGCGTTGACAGTTGTTCTTTTGCCTGCTGCACCGCTCGGCATGTGACGCATTTACCACGGCGGCGCTTCATTATGCAGGCATCCTCATCCCCGCTGCCCGACTCTGTACCGAGTACGAGTATTCTCTGGCTTTTCATCGAGCTTTCGTTTCTTCCTTGCATCGCCTGCACATGCCACTGCCATTCTGCCACTCTTCCTGCCCTGCCCTGCGCTGCTGCATTCTTGTGGGGCCCTAACAATGCGGCATTATGTAATAATGGTTACACATACGTATACGTATGTGTGTGTGTGTATGGCACCGCATTGACCTCATCGCATGGCTGTGTCAAAATTGTTCGACAATCTCACATGTACTTGAACTGTCAACCTGTGTGCGTGTGGGTGGGTGGACGGTGGTTCGTAGTGTTTCTCCCTGCCTGCCTGCCTGCCTGCCAGCCACGAAATGTTGTTTCTTGTTGTTTTCTCTCTTCACGTGTTTGTGGGGATGGGGTGGGGCGGTGTTGGGGCTAGGATTACATATCGAGCGGTTTTTGTAAATTTCCAGCATATTTTATAATTGCATGTCACGTTCTCGATGGGTCGGCCAAGTTTGTTTTGTTTTGGTTTTTTGTTTGTTGCTGCTGTCTTTGTTTGTTTAAACGGCGCTTTGAACTTGATGCGATTTTTGCATATTTAAAATTTAAAATTCATATCTATGCTGCATGGGGGATGGCGGTACTTGGAATAGATTTTAAGATAGTAGAATATTAAATAAAAGCTGCAATTCATTGGATCAATTGGGACACAAAAATAAGCTCTATTAAGCACTAGGGTGGATCGAGAGTTTCTTTTATTTAATTTAATTAACAGCTGATGGTTACAAGAGTTAAATGTATATTTTAAATTGATATAAAAAAAAAACAGAAACATATTCTATGTTACAATGTATGTTGAAGGTAAAAGATCTAAGACACTTTCCAATGCAGGAAAACAAAACCAGTGGATGCCATACAATTTCACAAATGGCGGGGAACTTTTTCTTTAAGCCCAAGTAATAACGAATCGATGTAATGAATCTTGCCTGGTAGGAGCTTGTATCGTATATAGTATATAGATATTTAGCAGTTCTGTTTGTGGGATACAATTATTTGCGATTTAAGCTTGGTATTAACTTGGTTATTTAATTGACCAGACAAAGCACTTGACTGCATTGCCGACACACATGTCTGTGTGTCAACACAGGTGGCTCAAACCTCAACCAAACCTTTTCAACAAGCCGCAGCTCCAATTTTCAGATTTTTTATAATTGCTGATATTCTATTGCTTCTTTTGAAAATAAAGAAATCTCATATCATTACAAATAAAAAAAAAACGAGAAGGAACGTGCGAGTCGCTTCTGGGGACGCGACTCTACTTATACCCGTACTCAGTCAGTATATACATTTTTGATCTTATGATTTTTTTGAATTAAAAAAAAAAATTTACATTTTACATTTTTTGCTACATCTGATATCTACATCTACACTACAATGTATATTCTACATCTAACATGTACATTGTACATGTACATGTTCCATTTAGATTCTACATCTCCTCCGCTAGGGGTTGCTCGCGCACTGAACGCGGCAGAGTGTGCGAGCGAGAAGGAAAATGAGTTGCGTTGTCGTTTGCGGGAGGTGGGACAGGGGAAGCAACTGAAAATTAATTTCTTCATTCTGGCTAAAATTATTATCCGATCTGATTTAGATTCGGCAATCTGGTAGATATGGGCATTCTCTACGATACTGCGTTTTTAGTTTTATCATATCTTTAAAAATGTGCCTGCCACAGATTTTCGTCCTTTGTGTGGGCGGAAGGGGGCGGGGCGAAATTTTGAAATATACTTGAAATACAGTGTGATATCACGTGAGTCTGGAAACCAAATTTGGTTGCCCTAGCTCTTATAGTCTCTGAGATCTAGGCGCTCAACAAGACGGACAGACAGACAGACAGACATGGCTCTATCGACTCGGCTATTGATGCTGATCAAGAATATATATACTTTATGGGGTCGGAAACGTTTCCTTCTCTGCGTTACACACATCCACTTTTACCACAAATCTAATATACTCCTTAACTCTTTTTTGAGTACGGGTATAAAAACGAATTTCTAAAAGAATTTCTAACATATCTATTATGTTAATATGTACAAAAAAACAATAAATATATCAATTTTTTAATTGTAAAAATAAATTAATAATTTTATAAATATTTTATAATGTATATTCATATTTATATATATATATATGTATAATTAAATGAAATTTCTCACTTTAAACATGAAATTTTCAATTCGATTTTTCCCAATTGTGGACAATCGGTATTGGAATTATAAAAATCTGGAGCTCACTTTTAACGCAGAAATGGGACGCTCGTAATATCCAAAAGTTTCGGCTTCGATCAACGTCTCCTCTTGACTTATCGATAGTTATTATATTACATTGGTATCTCCACTGTTTATATCGACTTAGTGCATATTATTTATTTATTATTATGATTATTCCCTACATAGTTACATAGTTACAGTGCTACAATTATATTGCTAAATAAAATACTTTCCAATGAATGCTATTCAGTTCTTCCTCGAAAATAACAATAGAACAAGTACATGCATACATACAATATATTTATAAGGTTAATTCCATATTGAAGGCAAAATAAACTAAATAAACAGCATTGGATTCCGTACTGCTTCTGGCAGTGGAGCCAATTAGCCCCAAAATTAATGTATAAACAAAATAATACGCGACTCTCTGGTTTGGTCATCGGGAATTGTTTGGGCAGCCTAACCTGCCACGATAAGTGCCTAAGCAGAGAAATAAATTAATTCCAGTCGCTGGCGGCCACACCGCAGGTGGCAGCCCCCTTACTGTGGGCCTATGTTGGTAGTGGGTTATGGCCCCCGGGCAGGCGCCAGGCTGCAGTTTTGGCCACCAGCCCGTACCAAAAACAAATGGAAATAGAACTTTAATTAAAAGCGGTGGGAGCCAGCGGCAAACAGCAGTGGGTTACGAAGGGGGCAGCGGCAAAGTGAAATAAGCCAACAGTCTAATAGTGAAAATAGTTCCTCACATAGAAATATGCAGAATTACTAATACACTGAGAGAAAGAGAAGGGCATTGCACTTAAATGTATTCTAGGGTGATAATTCTTTGGGCTTACATCACCCACATATTGCACATTTCGTGTGTTTTTTCACACTTCTCAGGGGTGTTTCTCTCAGTGTTTTGTACACGATATGATTGTCTGTACAGGGCAAACAGCGGGTGCCTCTCTGCTATTTAAAGTCTATTTGCAGTTGGCCTCATAGCGGGGGAAGCGAAAAGAGCTTGAGCTCACAGAACACCAGCACTGGCAGGCACGGATAGAGCATCTTCGGCAGTGTAGACGATGCTGACGACGCTTTAAGCTGTTCAACATTCAGATGAGATGATATGTCAGACTTTTGACTGGCCTTAGCACGCTCCAAATGGCCTCAGGCTCCGACTGGCTCTGTTGTCAACCGGCAAACACTTGTCTGGCATTAAAGCAGGGCTCGCTTCTTCTCTTCCTGGCTAGAACTACCACTACCAATCACAACAAGCCTGCTAAACAACTTACCCTGCAATGCGCGCCGCTTGGCAAACATAATGCAAATGACAGGTGAAAGGATATGCTACTGCCACTCGGCACAGCACTTTTACTTTAAGATTATGTCTCTGGCACTCATCGCACTGGGTTTTGGGTCACATCTGGATCTGGTGGCTGGCGGCTGGTGGCTGGACCCTGCAATTTAATTAGTATAGTAGTAAGACTTCCTCGGTACTCGGCACTCGAGACTCAGAATCAGTCCCGGGCTGTGGTTGGATTCTATTAGGGAGAAGATAATTAATTATAATTATCAGTGCTAAGTGCAGCCCCATTATACTCAACGCCCGGCCTGGATGATAATGATGGCGCTGACGATGATGCAGATGATGACGTTGATGAGCAGCAGAGGCCCTAGAACGACAACAAACTACTCTCTTAGATGAGTGATGGGAGGCCCAGTTGGCTGTGCCATATGGGGCATGGGTAGCGGCTGAAATGTGCAGGCTGTGGGCTTTTCTAAACAGCTTCATTTAGGTTGAATAGAATGTAGCATTTTCCTTAAAGAGAGATTGAAAAATCTCACACAAATATTTTATTTTAATTATTCAGAATCTTTCGGATTTTGCCTAAGTGTTTCTATAATTTAGTTTTTCTTAAATATATACTTTCCGCAGCAACATAAATCTAAACGATAACGTTTAGGGAAGAGCACGCCCACACAAAGATTATCTCTTTGTCATGTATATACATACATCTGATAGATACAAATTGTATATATGTAGTTACTCGTACGTGGCGCGGCTAGGCCTAAAATAAAATTTACCTCACATTTAACGCAATTTTTGCGGTTTTTTCTTTGGTGATTTCTTTTTAATTTCTTTTTTCTTTTTGCTTTAAAGCAATCATGAAGATTCCCATGGAGGACCACAGAAATGTACCACATCACATCGGGTCCATCAAAATCAAACTATGCAAGTCACCTCATCGTGTGGCATGCCTCCTGTGCCTCCAATGCTATCCAATCAATTGCACATTGTGCACGTAGAGGAGTACCCGTACCCCCGTGCGTGTTTGGTAGCTGAGGTTTGGGGCTCGGTTTTGGGGGCGTGTGAAATCGAAACCATTGAAATTGAAAACTGAAAACACTGAATGAAAAGTTTTGCGGGGGGCCAACAGCCACAGCCACAGCCTTGGAATTGAATTGAATTTTTCGGTGGCATGCCAGGCCAAACTATGGGCCAGGAACTTTTGCGACCCCCATGTGGCCCATGTAACTGACCCACCACACACAGCGTGAGGGGGAAATGTCTGCAAAAAATTTTTCCTGGCATGTGGAAAAAAAAAGGTGGCAGCAGAGGGAAATTTTGTGAAAGTTTTTGAGCCGAAAAAAAAAAACTACCGAGCACACTTCATAATTGTATGCGAGAGTTCTCTGTGAAAGTTTCCACTCTGTGTGGGGCCAGCAAAAGTTTCAAGGTGCAAGTGGCAAGTGGCAACGAGGCGTATGCGTCATAAATGCCATAACACTGAGACCACATTGTGGCCAGGACCTGGGCCTGTGCCTGGGAATGGGATGTGAAGCATCTGCGCACAGAAAAATCGATTAAACTTGCATGTGGTTCATTAGGCCATGTCCCAATTGAATGGGAATCAGTTGGGGGATTCGCAGGATCAAAGATGCGAGTGCTCATGCAATTTCTGTTCAATCTGTGGAGTGCACTCAAAGAACTTAAAGCTCTCCTCTTGTTAGTATCAGTATAGCTTTATAATCATTATATATCTTTAGAGCACAGAGTAAACTTACTGCCTGGCTAGCAAGATAATAATACGTTTGCGCTTTATTTGGTTGCACTTTATTGCATGATAGAAAACATTTATGTCAGCAATTGTCCGTTGAGAGTCAACGAAGTGACACCCGCTGAGCATCTGGCCTGCGTTTGGGTGGTGCACGTCTGTGTCGTACTGTCAAAGTAGGTGGAGCCCGCGCAGGTGTAGATTGCTCCATACCAAACACCCGCATACGTATAGCAGGATACATATCTAGGAAATAGGTAGCATATTTTAGCAACTCAGTGAAGATTGAGGGATGTATCTCCTATACTTACTGCCTGCAGGTGGTTGTGGCATCAATGCCATAGGGATAGCGTCCGCGCTGCTGCAGGCTGCGGCAATACTGGGTGGGATCTGTTATGGACGTGCCTGTGCCGCCGCCAGATGAATTGGTGGCACAGCTTGCCGGATAGGTGGCGGAGCTGCCACAGATATCGGCATTCTCCAAGCTGCACACCAAACTGGTGCCGCAGGATCCCACAATCGATGCACTCGGCGTTTCCTGGCCCAGACACAAGGCGAATTGCGATGAGCTGATGCACGCAAAGCGCTTGTCCGAGCTGCATTTATTGCAATTCACACAAGCCCCTAATGACTCGTCCGGACTGCAAACGGCATCGCTTGCGCTACAAAAGTAGTTGGTAGGACAACTCGTCACGGGTCCAAGGGGCACATGAGCGACTGAGCAAATCTGATACTCCGTGGCCGATACGCACGCCACATTGGCAGTGCCCGTACAGACATTGCACTCGGCCCAACAGCCCAGGACTCCAATGCCCAGCAAGATCAGCAGGCGCAGCATCTTCGAGTGGAACTGGGGCTCACATTTGCCCTGCACCTGAATTTATTCATTCAGTTTTATCTCATGAAAGTTGCGCTATATTGGCCTGGATTATATTGCCTCGTAAAGATTAAAGAAACTTGAAGACTTCCACCAGCAAGAGCAACAGCAACAGAAGGGTTGAGTAAATCAGCTGACAGGCAATAAGGTTTGTAAAAATATTTGAAATGCAAAAAAAAGGTACTACTGCTAGGTGGCATCCAATAAATTTGTATCCACACACGAAATATAATTCATAATTAAACTAAATAAATTCAACAATTAACTTAAATATATTTCATATATAAAATAAATATGTTTTATATTTCAATTGTATATTTTCATATTTAACAAAGCCTTTTTGTTAAATTTATGTTTAAATAAATGTGAATTCTATTTAATTTCACTATGTTTGGATGATATCAAGAGCTGAATATTTAATTTAAAGTACTGCTACGAAGAATATGTTACGTAGCATTTGTATTAAACAGAAGAACCGATTCTTAATTCTTAATTAAACTAAGATTAAAGATCTGCTTTATTTTTCATTCTTTGTTAATTTCAATTTCCTTCAGTGACAGCTGACTGACTATTCATTCTTTAAATACCAATTAGTAGTTACCACTAAGGTGTAAACAAATAAATCTCTACAGATAAGTTGAATAAAATACACAAATTATATATTACAGTAGATGCAGATTGCTGAGACTTAAAGTTGCGACTCCATCCGAGCATCTGGGTGGCAATTTGGTGGTGCAGTACTTTGTCAAGCTGTCGTAATAGGTAAGACCTGGACAATCGTTGAGGGCTCCTTTCCAAACGGTGCCATTGACGGAGCAAGAGATGTATCTGCAAAACAATACCCAAATAATATACCATGATGTGTAGTAGTTCGGCATACGAGTACTCACTGCCTGCAGGTGGTGTCCGGATCGATGCCATAGGGAAACTTTCCAGTCGTCTGAATGATGCCGCAGTAGGCAGTGGGAGCTAGTCCAATGGGGTCCACACCACCTGGACTCGTATCGCTGCCAGCGGGACAAGTGGCCTGGGCTGCGGAAGTGGCATTGGCACAGATATACGGACTGGTCAGATCGCACACATGCTCCGAGCCGCAGCTGCCGACGAGCATCGATGGTGAGTCCGTTCCCAGGCACAGGGCATATGTGCGTTCGGAGAGGCAAGCAAAGTACTGACTCTCACTGCACGAACCGCAATTGCAGGCTCTGAGGGCCACGTTCTTGCTACAAATCGTGGTGCTCGCGGTGCAATAGTAGCCCGGGGGACAGGAGTAGACAGGTTGAATGGGCACATTGTCATCCGAGCAGAACTGGAACGTTGTGTTCGATGCACAGGCCACGCTGCTATCGGTCGCACAGACATTACAGTCGGCCTGAGAGCCCAGGATGTAGATCGATCCCAGAGCCAGTCCGGCAGCCAGCAAGATCAGCAAGCGCAGCATCTTGAAATGCAACTGACTTTGCCATTGCAAGGTGCGCCAGGCTATATGAATTCAATCTAATCTCTTATCTTATCCGAGAAAACTAGAGCACACTAATTGCAAAGGGATTTCAGATGAACTAAATGTACATACTAGGTACTTATGTATGAGCCATTTCCATGGCTAGATCTTGCACAATGCATGATCTTTGGAAAGGAAAGTGCCTGTCACTTGTACCTTTATATATATATCAGAGTAATCCAATAAAGGTCACGTGTTTCTGCAAGTCACATGTGTGGGTTGTATGAATTTATAATCTCTGAATCTTGGATCTCCTCTTTCCTTGTTCCAGATTCTGTCTGCCTAAATCATTTGCTGCTCTTATAAGCTGAATAAAAGTTATTGCTTAATTTTTGAAGAGGAGCAACAATGTGCATATGTACATATGTATATATCTTTTTCACATATTTTAATGGACATAATTCTTTAAAGATGCATCATATGATCCAGGTAAAAGCATCACACACAATTGGAAGGTATCGTTCCGCATGCGGAGGTGATGCTACTGAAATACGGTTTAGTTGAAGGGCATTTCCAGACATTTCCCGACCAGACATTACCCCGATAGAAGCAAATGACATAGCTGGAATATAATCAGAAATATTGCTATATATTTTAGGAGAATACAACTAGAAATCTCACCTCCGGCAGCTGGTATCATTCGGATTGGTATAGCGACCCGTGGAGGCTTTGACTTGACACATATCAATGATTGCTGGATCCACAGGGATTGAAGTACTAGCAGTACTGGTCGTAGACTCTGTGGTGCTGGTGGAGCTCTCTGTGGAGCTCTCTGTGGAGCTCTCTGTGGTGCTCTCTGTGGTGCTGGTGGAGCTCTCTGTAGTGCTGCTCGAGGTCTCTATAGTGTTTGTGGTGCTCTCTGTGCTCCTAGTTGTGGACTCTGAAGTGCTCTCGGAGGTGCTACTGGAGGGATCTGCGCTGCAAGCAGCGAGTTCAGAATTACTCTGACAAACTTTGTCCTTTTCCGTGCAATAATAACCGTCGGGACAGTTGTTTGAGATCCCAATGGTCAATGCTTCTTCACAAAACATGAAAGCAGTTTCCGATACACAGACAGTATTGGTCTCGTTAGAACAGACATTGCAGGCGGCCCGACAGCCGAGTATGCCCATTACCAGGCAGAGCAGAATCCGCAGCATCTTCAAAAGTGACTGAGGCAGTCTATGAACTGCAACAAGCTTTAAGTAGCAGCTCCAAGATAACAATGCTTAGCGGCATTAGCGAAAAGCAAACAGAGCGATTCACTTGGAGGCACAGCAGGCCATGAGAATTCGCAACTGCCCCAAAGTATGCAACGGGTTTGATGCAACAAAATGCTGCACAACTTATCTAAATTGAGTCTTGAATCAAGGTTCCCCAACGCGGCGAGGCCAGGACGGATTAAGTGCTATCTCAGAGTTCCGAAAATAGCTGCCAAAATTGCCTATTTAAATTGTCTGAGCGATGGCCACAACCATCAGTCGCACAAACAATTCCATTCGGGAGTACGAGAATCATCCGAAATGTCATTTATCTTGCTCTTCCTGCTCGCCTGCAGCCTGCTCGCCTCGGCCAGGGCCACGTGCAACGTCTGCAATACTGTCAACAACCTGACCTGCTACTCCCTGACCCAGACACAGGCATGCGATGCGTCTAATTTGCCCACCGGTTCGCCCTTCAGCTGCCCCACCGGCTATGTGTGTGTGAGTGGGGCCAATGGAGTGATCTGCGTGCCGGAGGCGAGTGCTGAGAGCAGCCAGGCCGACTGCCAGGATTGCAACAAGTGCGACACCAGCAACACCTTTGCCTGCACTGGCACCAGCAGCTTCGCCCTCTGTCTGGGCACGGACACGGTGCAGGATTCAGTCGGAACCTGTGCCGACGGCTATGTATGTAACATCAATGACACACAGATATGTGGTCTGCCAACAAATGGGGTAAGTTCTTACCAAATGGAAGGTGTTTAGTGCGAGGAAGGTGAAGCCGAGAGGAGTTTGCGCAACCAGGAAATCCAGAATCCGATTGGATATCCGTTCATGATGAGATAGGGCAGCAGCCGCAACATATTACACGTATTTCCTAGACTTTTATGATGCTCCGACAGTTTAAGATAATATTTTTGTTTACGTTCTTTTCACGCGCTTCTAACTTTAACTGTCTTGAACTCAACTCTTTTCAGATAATGCCCACGTGTTCGTATGCCGAAGATGCCACCTCCAGCAGCTCCTCGAGTGGAACTACAACAACAACAACTGCTTCTCCACCTTCCACCAGCTCCCCAGACGCATATTGTGCCGCCGTTCAGTCCGAGGGTAGATTTGCAGTCGGCAATGATGCCTACACGACCTGTCGCCAGTATATTTTGTGCACCTTGGTCAGCGGCAGTTGGCAGGGTCAAACGTATACGTGTCCGGGCAGTCTGTACTTCAACAGCACTTCCAGCCAGTGTGTCGTCGCCATGCCATCCACCTGCTCGACCAGTGTCAGCTCCACAACCTCGACGACAGCGGCCCCTACACCAAGCAATCCAGATGCCTATTGTGCGGCCATGAAGTCGGAGGGCTACTATCCGGTGGGAACCGATCCCAGTACCACATGCCAACAGTATGTCTACTGCTTTCTGCTGAATAGCGTCTGGCAGGGCCAGATGTACACGTGTCCGGGCAGTCTGTACTACAACAGTGCCAGCCGGATCTGTGCGAGTGCCCTGCCCGCCACTTGCTCCGCCACAGTGGCCAGCCTGACCCTCAATGGAGTTGCTTTAGAGTAAGTACAGGCGACACGGAGAATATTGAATAGTTTATTGAATGAGATGGGATGGGTCTGATGGTCTAAAGACAAGCAGCAGGCTTCAGGTAGGAGCACCTCTGCATCTCTGCCTCGAAGTAGGAGTCCGTCGGGCAATCGTATTCCGTGGCGTTAACCGCAATATTATTTTTAAAGTAACAACTGATGTAGCTATAAAGACAAGATTAACAAATAAATATACTCAATGGGCTTGTGGAAAATTTTAACTAGATCTGTCGTACCGCTTGCAACTGGGATCTGCCGGATCTGTGGGATAGAGACCCGTCTCCAGATGCTGGCGACAAACTTCCAAGGGCGTAACGGGTTTCAGAGTGGGTGTGGTGGGTGTAGGCGTGGGTACAGTTATGGTGCTTTCCGTACTTTCATTATTATCGGTGGATTCACTGGTAGGAGGCGCTGCTGTGGTCGTATCCACCAGCTGATCGTTGAGGTCACAGGTGAGGTTTTGATTTGCCACCTCGGGCACACAGATACTATCGCTGCTGGCATCACAAACCTTTCCAGTTGGACAGTAGCCAAACTTCCCTGTGGGACTGGTGGCCCCGTAGCACATCTGGAAGATGCCACGGCTCAGGCAGGCGAACAGATAGTTCCGATGGGCGCTGCACTGACCGCACTGGGAGGTGTCCCCACAGCTGGGCGGCCGCTGGTTGCTCTTCTGGGTACAGATCGCTGTCAGATTGGTGCATTGGAAACCATCCAGGCAGTGGTAGAGTTGATCCGTGTGAGGCATTCCATCTGCATAGCCGAAGGACATTTTGAATCCGGACTATATTGTATCTATAGATGCAGACTCACCGCCGAAGCACAGATAGAAGGAAGTGGAATTGACGCAGGCCACTTTGTTACTCTGGCAGACATTGCAATCGGATATTGTTTGGCCCACCAGAAAGGCCAGAAATAGCTGCAAAATAATTTCAGTTATTTTCCTTTCTTTTTGTTAAGATAAAACCATAGACCTACCCCTCCCAGAACTGGAATGAATTTATTATAATTTTGGGACATTTTCCGTGGAGAGAAAGATTGCTTGTGTTCACTGTCAAGGCTCTGCGACGACTAAAGGCAACTTAGTTGATAACTTGGACATAAACCCAAAGACAGAAGCTGTCTTCAATGTTTGCCCAGTCTTAACTTTTCTCCGGGGTCCGCGCTAATTGTTTTATTTGGCTTTGCTTTCCACATGATTGCTGCTTTATGTGGTCTCATGCTATCCCCAGATTAGCAGCATAAGAATATACGAATATCGCGTGGGCGCCGAGACCATTGGCCATTGGCCATTGGAGTCGAGAAACTCTTCGTTAAAGAGTGGAACGGAATGTGTCAGAAAGTTAATATTGCCCAGGGAATACTCTTTTTTTTTTTTGGTACATATTTACTTAATGATATTTCCCATCTATAAGCTTGATTAATTAACAGGAATTTCTTGTGGTTCCACCTACCAAGATTCTATGCATTTGTTATAAGAAAGAAAGTAAGACAAGAATGAACCTGCTGGTTGGTTTCTTTTGGCAACTACGCTAATCAAAGTTCTGCAAAATTTTGGGTGGGTGTGAGTTAGAGAAAGAGGAAAAAGAAGAAGAGGCACACAAAAATACAATATCGGACGGAATGTCACTGCTTCTAGTAACATTACATTAGACGGATGGCAGTACAGTGGAAGCTCGGAAATTATAATCAATCGGTTACTGGGGAGTTTCTAATTTCTGAAAAGTTATAATTTGAATTATTTTTAATTTTTAAGCTAACAAATTTCCACAGGCTTATCAAATAACACATGCATATGAACAAAGACTATACAATACCAAGATGCTGCATGTGGTGGGGTCTTTCGTTACGCCTCGTAGACAGAGGGAGCGCGCGGAGTTTCAATTCTCTTTTCCCCTCTCAAAAGCGAATGGTTCAAAACGGAATGTCCAAAAATAAAAGAAATTCTCCGTCTTGGGCATGACGAGGCATACTTTCTCCGGGACTGGAACCTACTGCGCCTCGCCAGAGTCGAAGGATACCTAAATTGAAGAAATTGCCCCGCGCGCCCCTTTTCATGAAGCGTCTAACGAAAATTGAAATGGAATTTGTTCCTGACGCATTATCGTGGTAATTGTATAGTCTTTAATAATATGTATATTTAATATATTAAATAAATTATATACGAATACATTCATGGGCACTTATAATTTCTTCAGCAAGATTTTGAGACGGTTTTTCCATTTTTTTAAATTTGACACACACCGCTTCAATTTTTTTCAGCATAAGCTTAGTATCCAGCACTGCGGAATCGAATAATTCCTGTCAAACTCCATATAAAAAAAACTGTGACAGGAATGTTTCGTTTACGTATTCCTGGAGTGTGTATCCAGCAACACGAGCGGAATCCACAGATTTATATCGATAGTTGGCCATCGGGACCGTGTGTGGACTGAGAGAACAGCTGATACCCAGCTCAGGAATATATACTTTACAATTCTTCCCGAAGTGAATGGTGCAAGATGTAGGCATTTTTGTTAGCAGTTCCTTACTCCACTCACACTCGTGCAGTTATACAACACACACACACACACACCAACAGACTTCAGCCCACACATAGGCTCCCAGCGACGCACCATGGGAAATTTTACTCCTTTTTCTGGCCAAAACCCATTTTCTGAAAGTCGGAAAATTAAAACAAGTTTTAGTGCAACGCATTCACAATACTTCAATCTTTAGTGTTGCATCACAGAAATCTTAATAGAGGGCGCCACATCGAAGGAATCAGCTGACAAATACAGCTGTTTCATTTCCAAAGCACATGCTTCTGTAATATTAAGTTTTTATACCTGTACTTAAAAAAGAGTTAAGGGGTATATTGTATTTGTGGTAAAAGTGGATGTGTGCAACGCAGAGAAGGAAACGTTTCCGGCCCCATAAAGTATATATAGTCTTGATCAGCATCAATAGCCGAGTCTATATAGCCATGTCTGTCTGTCCGTCTTGATGAGCGCCTAGATCTCAGAGACTATAAGAGCTAGAGAAACCAAATTTGGTTTCCAGACTCATGTGATATCATACTGCTACAGGTGTATTTCAAATTTTCGCCCCGTCCCTTTCCGCCCCCACAAAAGACGAAAATCTGTGGCAGGCACATTTTTAAAGATACGATAAAACTAAAAACGCAGTATCGTAGAGAATGCCCATATTTACCAGATTGCCGAATCTGAACTAGATCGGATCATAATTATAGCCAGAATGAAGGAGTTAATTTTCTGTTGGTTCCCTCTCCTTCTCCAGCGCTGCTGACGCTACTGATTCTCTTTCTCGCTCGCACACTCTGCCGCGTTCAGTGCGCGAGCAACCCCTAGCGGAGGAGATGTAGAATATAAATGGTACATCTATAATCTACATGTTATAGCCTTTTCACACTGGGGACTAGAGTTGGGTTGCTCATGAGTGAGTGAACAAAAATGAGCTGTTCACTTCACTGAGTGAACTGAACATGCTCACTCAATTTTTGTTCAGTTGTTCACTTGTTCAGTTGTTCACTCAGTTGTTCACTTGTTCAGTTGCTCACTAAGTTGTTCACTTGTTCAGTTGTTCACTCAGTTGTTCACTTGTTCAGTTGCTCACTCAGTTGTTCACTTGTTCAGTTGTTCACTCACTTGTTCAGTTGTTCCTGTTGACTCACTTGTTCAGTTGTTCCCTGTTAAGATCTGCACCCAAGACAAATTACTTTTAGCCATAGACATTAGACTTAGACAATTTTGCTGGTAGAGAGGGATTCTTACTTTTATGTATTGTTATTCGATATTCTTTAATATTTGGGGGGGGGTTTGCTAAACATACTTATTCATACAGTACATCTATTTGTATGTATTCGATGAACCACAAAATAAACTGGGGAAAATTAACAAATGTTTGAAAAACAAAGCATTGAACTGAGTGAACCACTGAACAGGAACAACTGAACACTGAACAGTGACACTGAGTGAACAACTGAACAAGTGAACAACTGAGAACTGAACAGTGAGCAAGTGAACAACTGAGTGAACAAATGAGCAACTGAGCAACTGAGCAAAGTGAGCGAGTTGTTCACTCACTTAAAAGTGAGCAACTGAACTTGTTCAGTAAAGTGAACACTCTTTACCCAACTCTACTGGGGACCATCCACCATCCATCTGGGATGTTCCTAATTCTCACGTTTCAGTGCGGTATTTTTTCGATAATTGTCAAATGCAACAATAAATATTTGACATTCACAACAAAAAATCGGAATTCACTACGAAAATGTAAACAATGACAGACAGGAAAATGGTAAAAAAAACAACAAAAAAACATCTGATATGTCAAAATTGTGTCAGATACACAACTCTGTTTGTGGACTATCCTCTGGAATCCTCTAATTTATGAATGCTCTGCAAAACTCAAGCAGGATATTGCACACGCTATAGGCTGACAGCCTTCCGACTATTCTTTACTCAAAACAAAGAGCCCAAAGTATACGGCTGTACATAACTTAGCTTTAAAAATGCCTCGTTGTTTTTGGGTACATCTTTCTCCCAAAATGTCCCAAACCGCTTCTCAACACACATATAATTTATATTTTTATTTAAAACATTGATTGGATTTATTAGAAGCACTCACAAATGACCACAACCTTCCGGGCTTCAGTGTTTTCAAAACAGATATCCATTCTATTATCTCCTCCTCGTCAAAGTTATCCTCATCATCATCGTCCATGTCCAACAACATGATTAGCTTGTGCAAGAATATGTTTTGCTGCTGAATCACATTCACGACCATTGAAATGTTATTTATATTCATTTTAATTAAAGTAAACAAATTTTCACCGCACGCAATTGTGAGCAACAGCTGTTTCTCATGGATGGTGGATGGTGTCAATGTGAATCGGTGTTTCACATCTTTTAAAAATTCCCACCGTTCCCCCAGGATGGCCTCAGTGTGCAGCGAGTATAATAGAGCCAAATGCATATTTTTGATAAAGTCTCATCTTGCAAAAGGGATTTAAAGTGAGTCCAGCAGAGTTCATCAACAAGATATATTGTATGTTGTAGAGTATTAAGTTTTTGTTCAAATGAATGTAATTATAAATAAAACTTTTTACGGTTTTGCGAGAAATTTTAATTTTTAGGACATTACCTCAATTTGGCAAAATCAGATTTTTTTTGGCAAGTAGTATGAAGCAAGGGGAAAAGTCGCAAAGGAGGATGCTGTGTTGATAAGAAAGAGGTTATTTAGCGAAAAAAAGAAGTCCAAGGCCTATTTTGCGAACACCTTTCGTTGAAAGTCGGTCAACCGAAAGTTGGAGGATTTGGCAGTACCAACGATAGTAACACTGCTCGTCGAGCATTTTCCAACATCACTGGCATCGATGAGCAGCTTATTGCAAATTTACATACGATTTCGATATGCCTTTCATGCCAGCTGCCAATTTCTGTTCCAAAATTTCAAGCTTTTTGTTATCGTACTGCCGAGATAATCATTGACCGCAAGTTTTCATACAATTTTAATTCACGCAAGGGATATCATTGCAAATTCTGTGCTTCCTATTGGATATTTCGGAGAAGAAGGAGCTGAACCTCGAAATATATTTTACAAATCTGATCGTCTGTATCATGCCAGAAAATGCGGTAGGATTGAAAACCTAACAGATGTGTTTCAGCGAGCTATAGATACTTCTGATCCGATAATTTCTTTAGTGAATTTGGATAGACAGAGTAGAATGTGTCTTCCATTAGAGGTTTTAAACCTATTAGAATGCTCATCAAATCCGGATGGCAGCACGTAGCGTTAAGATGAAAGCCCTTTTAATGAATTAGACTTAGAACATAAATACAATATTGAATTGCAAAACGAAGAGCAGGTCTTTATCTAAGAGGTGTGTAAGGAAAATATATTTCTTACAATACATTA